ATATTCTAATTTGTTATAAGTGATAGGTATTTCAAAAATTTTATGATCTAGAAATAGTGTACTCATATGCAGTTGATGTTTAGTAGCCATAGTTAAAGGCAAATTGATTCTATTATTTGACATTAATGCACTTTGTTTCAATGGCCGATGTTTAGCTTCGAAACGCATTGCCCATATATGAATTAAAGGACCTGCAATTTTCATTATATAAGCATAATGAACCATAAAATGGTGTTTTGGTTTCAAAGTGTCTTTAAAAAGTTTGACATACAATATATGATGTTTTTCAAGTAAATTAATATCATCATTGTTAATAGTCGATTGTAGCACAATCGTAACTATCTGTCTTAACCCTTCGTGTGTAACGTCGGGTCACTCGTGCCCTGGCGAAAGTGACTGTCCCCTGTAGCTCAAAGGGAGGGGAGGCGGAACCAAACTATACTGAAAAAAATTGTATACTACTAAGCTACTAGCTCCCCAAGCGCCGACGGTCTAGTGCGTAAACAGCCGTTGTGAGAGTCAAACAAAGTTTTGAAAGTGCACGAGTGACCCGACGTTACACATCACGTTGATTAAAAATAGCAGGTGAGTAAAATGTTTATTTTAATTTGGATGTTTTTTTTACTAAAAATTCATGTTCTTTCATTGGGAATTGATCTATTAATCTATCTTAGAGTTTCCTAACCTAACTTTTAAAGTAAACACGTTTTTCAAATTTCGATGTGTTTTATTATTGTAAATTGAAAGTAAACTCAAAGTTTATGTCATTGTGATAAGAATTTAAATTTTATTTTTCAGATTAAACGATGTCGCAAAGATCAGATGCTGAAATTAGTCGCGTCTTATACGAACGAGATCATGAGGTTGACTACGGCGGCGATGGTACTGATTCAGAGGAAGATAAAGACTGTGTCGAGGTTCAGGAGTCTAGCGACACTGAAGTTTCGTGTGACGAGCCAGACTCGTCACACTCTGATAATGTTCCAGACTCTGATGATGATTTAGATGAGGAAGAAGAAGAGCGAGGCCAAGCACCTCAGCGAAGAAAGCGCAGATTCGTCCACGGTAAAGACAAGTTCAAGTGGAGTCTTGATACTCCGGAGGCACGTGGTCAATGTTCGAGGGTGCATTTGCCTGCAGCTAAGGGTAACAGTTCAAATGCAACAAATCCATACGAATCGTGGAATGCTCTTTTTTCGGATGAAATGTTGGATCTTATCTTGAAATGGACAAACGCGGAAATTGAAACATATAAAACGACACACGTGTTTAAAGCCGCTGATTCAGCAACTTTTTCTAGTTTGACGTTAAACGAATTAAAAGCGTATATAGGTTTGTTGTATTATCAAGGACTGAACAATAATAATCGCGTCTTACTTGAGAATTTGTGGTCCGATGAATTTGGCACAAATTTATATAAAACTGTAATGTCAGTGAAACGGTTTCGATTTATCGGAGCTCGGCTTCGATTCGATGATAAAACCACTCGACGTGAACGACGCGCGAGCGATTTGCTGGCTCCCATACGCGAACTGTGGGATCTTTTTATCGGAAATTGCATAAGTAATTACACCCCTTGCGACAACGTTACCATCGATGAACAATTATTGGGATTCCGAGGAAAATTTTCAGCTCGTGTATACTCAAAATCGAAGCCTGCACGATATGGCATAAAAGTTTTGTCATTAAATGACTCGAGGACTTTTTATATGTTGAATGCAATTCCTTACACTGGTCGAGTTATTCCAGAGCGAGCCGAATCGATACCAACATACTTTGTAAGACGTCTATCTGAGCCTATACATGGTTCTGGAAGGGTTATCACGTGTGATAATTGGTTCTCTTCTGTAGAGTG